GCAGTGGCTCAGTTGCCCAGGCTAGAGTGCAGTGGTTCAGTCTCAGCTCACTGCAACCTCTTCCTCCTGGGTTCAAGCAATTCTACCTTAGCCTCCCAAGTTTATAGGATTACAGGCATGTCACCATGGCCGGCTAATTTTTGTTTTGTTTTGTTTTGTTTTGGAACACATGGGGCTTTGCCAGGTTGGCCAGGCTGGTCTCTAACTCCTGACCTCAGGTGATCTGCCCACCTCGGCTACCCAAAGTGCTGGAATTACAGGCTTGAGCTACCACGCATGGCCAAGTTGCATGCATTTTTATGTAACTGTTTTAGCCATGTCAAAGGTAGGGATGTATAATTAGTAATTTCTTCATTTTCATTATACTATTTCAAGATTTATTTTTACTGGATTTTACAGAAAATAGGGATTATTTTCTTTGGTATTTTAAAATATTAAAAAAAAATTGTGACTCCTTTACTTTTGTGGCTTAACTGGTTCTGAAGACAGAAAATAAGAGTTCTCAAGATGTTACAATAGGATTCTTACTAAAATAAGTATAGTTTTCCAGTATGATTTATTCAGAGGATAACACACTTTTCAAGTTTTCTGGTATATTTGTTTAAAATAAGTGTCTGCTTAAAAACATATCTTGTGTTTAATATTGATTAATATTAATATATTAATGTTTCAATATTTACAGGACTGCATTTTTTATGGTTTTGTTTCAAAAGCCATTTTCTTCTGGGAAAACTATTACCAAACACCAGGTAAGGTTTTTGCAGAATCTTTTGTTCCTAGCAGCTTCTCATTTAGTCGGCCAGGATGCAATGCTTATTTTTTGATAATGGGTACTTAGTGAATGATTTAAGTATGCCGAAGAACAATTTTAGAGTTAACTTGCTCTTGTCTTTTCAGAATAGAGACTTCAAGAGTAAACTGTAAAATACTAAGATCATGGAATGGCTTTAAAAAACAGAAGAGGGTAACAAAAAATTATAAAGCATTCATGTAATTATTTTCTTTAATACATACTTCTTCTGAAAGATTTACAAATTGGACATGCAAGTATGCCTAAGAGCCTAGTACAACTGTCACTGGAAAGCTGACAAAGCATAGGAGTTAAGAGTGATATTTCTGGAATCAGACAAAGTCATGTTCTTTTTGTCTGTCCTTACTGACCCTTACATTGGGCAAGTTACTTGATTTCTCTCTACCTTAATTTGCTCACCTGTAAAATGGAGGTAATAGTAACTTCCTAATGGAACTGTGAGGAAGAAATGAATTAATACTTAAGAAGTTCTTAGAATAATGCCTCATCATCATCGTAGCAATGTGACACCCTCATCATCATTGTCACTAATCTCTTTAGGCAGCTGTGGTTCAAACTAGAAATGTCCTACATTTTGCATAATCATCTCACATCATCACATCTATCACTTCTTTGGGCAGCAGTTATACCCCACTACATGTTTGCTTTATGCCATGACTTAGAAACCTGTGTCATAATTTTTTTTATTAGAAAGACAAATTTAAGTACTTCTATTTCAGAGACCAAGAACATTTTAAAAAATAGGATTAGTAGTCTAAACCCAATCTTAACTTTTTTCTCTCCTTTCACGTAATTGGATCACTAAAAATTCCTGGTGGCAAATAATTTAAAGACAAAAAGTTAAATGATCCTAGGAAACTACTGAGTAAACAGAAATTTGTACTCTGAAGAAAAAGATTTCAAAATCTACCAGCAAACAATAATATAGATAATGGAAAACAGAATACTGTCTTTTTTTTTTTTTTTTTT